GTGTAGTGACAGTCCCACAGGTGCTTAGCAAATTTTCATAAGCACCCACAGAAATTCAGCAACACTCCTTTCTGGAATTCCTATAAATAGTGTTGGGATCCTGGTAGGTGTTTTCTTGCTTGCTGGAGTTTTTCTGAGGTCCTAATCAGAGTCCTGACAGGTGTGCTTACTCCAGTGTATTTCTCCCTTGGGCTCTGCCTTGGTCCTTACACATTCTACCCCTGTGTTCTCCCGAGTGTTGTTTTTTTGTTTGTTTTTACCAATTAGTAAGTAATAGTTAAAACAGTAGTTAATTATTTATTACTGAATAATTCACGTTAAACATTCCTTGTTCAAATGACTGCTGTCTTATTCCCTTGGCAGGGGGTCAGATCTGTGAAATGATGAGAGGAAAGGAATAAGATGCGAAAAGACCACCAGTCATAGTAATTACAGCCATGAATCAGTACAGAACTGGATAAATCTTCAGCTTGGGGATATGGTGACAGTCACATCTGACAGGGGTTGCTGGGGAACCAGAGAAGTTGGAGAGGTGAGACTGTGCCATATAAACCTGGAAAGTCCCCCAGTATGGAAACCAATGTTTGTTTTCTGTGCTATATGGTTTTTATTACAAAACTTCCATTCTGGATACTTCTAGAAAGAATAAATGCACTTATTTTTAAAGCTCATTAAAGCAGAGTAGGTAATAAATTTTTTCGGACATACTGTTGAAGTCAATGTGAAGCTAACTGGCATAATGACATTTATGTTTAACAGATAAACTCAGAATGAAAGCCCCTCTCTGGCACAAAGAGAGCCCACATTGCTCAGTTGTCCTCCCAAGTCAAGGGCTTCCTCAGGTGGTAGAGACCTGGCGCCTGTGGAGGTGTGCCAAGAAACCTTCAGTGCTAACTCCTGAGGTGGAGCTGAGGAGGAGCTGGGGTGCTGGGTATATCCCAAGAGCACAGGACGGCCAGAAGTCTAGTAGCTGCACCTCACCTGCCCAGGAGCCCTCAAAGTTGGAGATGTAGTGAGTCACTGTGTGGGTGCTGTTGCTCCTGACACAAACCGTGGACCAGAAAGAACCAACCGACTGTGGAGAACATGTTATTAAGCTGACTCAGACTCACAGCCCACAAAAAGACAGAATGAAAGTGCCTTTACTCACTGAGGGTGAGCACCACCAGGAGTGCTGAGGCATTGTAATTAAAGGTTGAAACTTTGCTACATCAAATTATTTTCTTTTTTCCCCATAAGTTTACCGGTATAGTTTAGGTATACAGTACAGTTACATTCATCATTGGGATCTTGTACCTTTACACATAATATCTTAGTTCTTATTTTTTTTCCCCATTCCCCTGTCCTCCCTTCACCCGCTCCACCCTTCCCTATTACAGACTGTTTCCATATTTTTCCTTTTCTCATATTTGTTCTTTTCCCTTCTTACCTTTCCACTACACCTTCTACTTCCCCTACTCCTTTAGCCCTTTTCTTCCCATTACACAAAATCAATTTTACATTTGAATCCTTATTTACACTGTTAGTTTTTCACACCAGAGAAACTATTTGGTATTTACACATGTGTGTCTTATTAACTTCACTTAGGAGTATGGCCTCAATGTGCATCCACTATAAATTCTCTAACTGCCCCTAGTTTCTTGTTCTTTATGGCTGAGTACTCCATTTTATTAAAAAAACTCTTCTTTATCCGATCTTCAGTTGATGGGTAATTGGGCTGTTTCCAAGTTTTAGCTATTACAAACTGTGCTACTATAAATATGGGTGAGCATATATCACTGTGCTATGATCCTTTAAATTCTTTTGGGCAGATACCCAGCAGAGGAATATCTGGGTCAAATGGGACTTCTCATCATAGTTGTTTTAGGTATCTCCATATTGATTTCCATAGTGGTTGCACCAGTCTGCACTCCCACCAACAATGGAGAAGGGTTCCTTTCTCCCCACAACCCTGCCAACATTTGTTATTGGTTGATTTCTTAATAGCAGCCATTCTTTGTAGGGTGAGGTGGAATCTCAGTGTTGTTTTCATCTGCATCTCTCGAATGATCAGTGATGTGGGACATTTTTTCATACATTTATTTGCTTCTTTTACTTGTTTGTCTGAGAAATGTCAGTTTATTTCAGATACCCATGTTTGAATTGGGTCTTTATATTTGGGGGGGGTCTGATTTTTTTTTTTTTAGTTCTTTATATATTCTATGATTCCAATCTGATGACATGCTGGAAAAAGAAAACTATGGTAAAAGGGGTAGTGATTGTCAGGGGTTGGGTTCAGAATGGAGTAAACAGGAAAAGTACAGAGGGTGGTTAGAACAGTGAGAGTATTCTGTACAACAGTATAAGTAAGGGTAGATTTGATTCCTTAAATATGTATCAAAATCCGTATACAACCAGAAACGTGACTTCTAATGTAAACCATGGGCTTTGAGTGACTCGGCTGTGTGACTGTAGGTTCATCAGTTGCTACAAATGGACCACTCTGGTTGAGAATGATTATAATGGAAGAGGCTGCAAGGGTTGGTTGTCTGGGGTGATGAGCTAAACCTGAACCTACTTTAAAAAAAAAATTGTTTAAAAAAGCGGTGGGGCTTTACAAACGTATGATCTGTAGTTCACAGTTAGATGTGGTGAACAGAGATAATAACATTAAAATGGGCAGGTGTATAAATAAAAATATAAGTGGCAAATATGTTAAATGAAGCTCCATTTGATTTATAATTTATATATATATAT